ATCAAAGTGCTCATATCAAGTCATTTTTCCTCTTTTATTGCTAAAATTAACGAAGTTTCGAAATAATTAAAAAAACATATAAAAGTAGGTATGAAATAAGTGTGCGCTTCAAATTTATCAGCCACAATCATAACATAGTTCCTGGTGGTGAAGTAAAGGTCCACACCATGGCTTTAAGTGACCTGATTATCCTCGAGCTAGACAAATGGAAGAATTAATGGACACTATCCAAGTCAATCCCCAGGTACCAACTCACGAGCTTTGAGATTTTTTACAGGCTAAACTGGATCTATTTTCTTGAATATACGGTGACATAACATTGATCAAGGCTTCTGACCTCAAAGATAGAAAAGAAGCTGCTACATGCATCGGGATAGTAACTTTCCATGAACTTCCCTATCTAAAACTTTTAAGTAGTTCGAGATAAGAAGAATTTCAACACACCTGGTTGTGTACAGACCGGTCGTGGGAGACTTGAACATAGAAGATTTCTATACTTAGAATTCATATTAAACTATCTCATTTTAAAGTTTAAATTATTAAAAAAGAAAATAAAATGATTTATTTGAATTTATTGTCAACAACCTCTTCACACAAATAATGTCTAGGTAAGTAGGTACAGTTCACAACAGCAATCGCAGAAAACCATAAAACAGTCATCATGCTATGCTAACTCGATGCTCCATTTAAAACTCTTCTATCATTAATTACTAATGATGATCCAACAGAAAGGCAAATGGAATTAGTAAACAATTACAATATGATAGTCCTCTTGATAAATGAGTAATTTATTTAAACGTTTTTTCTAATGAATTTAGCTACAGTAGAAGTTTACCAGAGAAATTCAACAAGTAACGCAGATGAATCATATACTTTCTTCATCAAGCTAAACCAGTCATAGGGCAACTCTCCTTTGGCATATAATGATAATTTAGTAGACAAGTGAGGTATCATTTATATATTTTAACATATATACCATCATATGTCAAAGGAGAGGAGCCCTAAAACTGGTTTGCTTATAATTTTCTCTCCGTCTCTCGGTCTCCATTGGGAGCATTTCACGAAAAGAATAAGCGCCCATGGTTTCTTGACCCGAAGAATGAGTCTTTCTCAGTGGTTTGAACTTTGAACTAGAGTCAATTATAAAGTGTGGGCTTGAATGAGTGTTTATATACAGGCTCTTAGCCGTTGTTGATTGTGGCTATGGAATAAGAAGTTGAAGAAAATGGGATATGCCTTAGTGTTATCCTTTGATGCCTGCCTTTTACACATTCCACGCATGGCTCTTTTTCTCTGGTAAAGCTGCCTTGAAATGTGTTAGATTCTAGGTTGCATGATCTACTAGACTTTGGAATTTTACGTTGAAGCACCTCGTCTAAAAGTTGTTAAAGAGTGTATACACACACGTCTATGTGTGTGTGTATTAAGGTTTAGTCTTCAAAATGCTCTCCTATAATGTTTTTTTTTTTTCATGCCTAATACGTGCACAATTTTCATAAATAGATAGCAAGGAAACTTGATTATAAGATCTGTATTTGTTCTACTACCAAGTTAAATCCTCTCATCTAGAAATTTAAGCTGAAAACGAGTACTAGACATATTTATTTCCATTTAACCTTCGCATGATACTTAAGTACAAATTTACCAGGTTAATTTTTTCCATGTCTACCACAAGCACATTGGGCTGTTGCGAGAGTGGAACCCAAGACCAAATTTATATGCGAATCACTTCGTCAAAAAGTTTAATAAGCTAATAGAGAGGTGGCGCATTACTTAAATTTAATTTTCAACAGTTACATCTCTTTCACATTGTGGGCATGTGCTTTGAGGTGTGGGGAAGAAGATATAAAGCAGTAGAGAGGGAGATGCCAACTTTAGTATATAGGTCGTGGCAGCAAATTTTAGATATCGAGGTATATCCAATGTCATATTCTTCAGATATTTTTTTTTTTTTTTTTTGCCTTATACTTTAGATTTTCTTATATGTAGTTGAGCGATAGGGTTTGGCATAGACACCTTCAAGCATATTAAAAACAAAAAGGTCGAGATAGGTTTGAGACCCGACCATCAACGTACGAGTATAAATGCATAATAAGCAAATACAAGGCATGTTTGAATTATGCTTTGGACTCTGGGTTAGGAGTGTAAATGGTATGTTTGGTAAAACTCCAAACTAAACCAAATCGTTTTAATTTGCAAACCAAATCAAACCAAATGAAGTTATAATTTGTGGTTTACTTCAGTTTCAAACTATGGTTTGAACGTTCATGAAGCAAATGTTCTTATAATCCCGAAACTTCTTCAGTTCTTAGATTAGGTTAGGTTCGATTCGGTTCGATTTGAAATGTTTTTTAAATGATCAAATGCTAAATTGGACCAGTTTAGTTTGGACCGAATTCGAAACTTCAAACGGATCCACGTGGACCTACAGTAACGATTTCATTGCGGGTTGGTGAATTTCACTTACACTCCGACTCAGGATGTTGTGAATTCCAAGAAATGTGAATGTCAATTTTGTCCAAATAAATTAAATTAAATAACAAAAAGAAAAAGAAAAAGAAAAATAGTGCATTTCTAGTATTAGAATGTAAATAGGTGATTTATAATTGTGTCGCATGATTCTTTGATAAATATTGGACATGTATACTTGTTTTAGATTTCTCTATTGTTCTTTTTGGAAGTAAGGCGATACTCCCATATGCAGGGGAGGATTATCGATCGCCACACTCAATTTCAAAACCTCATTTGTACAGACTAAAATATAACCTTTGTACAAGTATTTTATTGTTGCTACACTGTAGCAAACCTACCTTTTGCTTCCACGAATTAACAATTCTAGCTTCGCCCGTGTCCATATTGTAGTAATTTTGATTGGCATGTTACTATAGGAAGAAAGGCCTAACCTCCAATTCTTATTTGGGTAAATAGGCCTGTGCCTTCACGAAAATTTGAAATGAATTATACAAAAAGTACAAAAATAAAAAAAAAGGTGCAACCAAAATCGACTACCCTTTTCGGCATCAATTGATTCAGAAACTCAAGTAACATCATTAGCTCAAAGTGGATTGGATTTGTGAACTTTTTTAAGCTTTTAAATAAAACATGTCAATTGGACCGGTCTTCATGGATTATTATAGTCACGTCCATTTGGACTATTACATGATATTTTAATGAACATTGACGGGAAGAAATATTTTTCAAATGTTAGTACCGTAACTTTGAATTAAGGGAAAATCCGGATGGCTAGGGTGTTGGTGGCTGAACGGTGCCCGACCCAACACTGTGCCGTCGATCCCGCGCGAAAAAATATTGCCTAAAAATTGTGGGCCCGACCCCCATGTGACGGGTAGGGCACCGAGCTGTCACTGTCTCTTCTGACAATGTAGGTCAGTTGATTAAGATGAGTGTGAAAATATAAAAAATTAAAGTTTGGTATCTCAAAACAACCAGTTTCTATTCCAGAAGAATGGTTGTTTCTCATAATCAAGTCATTGATAATCTAATCTGAATCCCCACTTTAGGCCATCTCTTAAGAATTTTTCTTCGTGTACTAAAGCATGGTTAACAGAACCCTGTCAGATAACTCACAAAGCGTGAAGTCCACCCAAATAAAAAAGGGCCAAAAATTAACCCAACCCCTCCACTCCCCCCCCCCCCCAATTGTGAGGTGTCGATAGTAAACCCCTACTTGTACATCTAGCAGGTCCCCTTAAGAAACACCAATAACTCATCATCATCGAGAGAGAATAGTTGACAGGTAACAAACAGGATACTCTATAATGCAGATCAGATGCCCTCTAAGGAAGGAAGGATGTTTGGTGATAATAAAACTGTGCACTCTGAGCTGAGGAAGAGAAGAGAGAAGAAGAGACAAAGATGCATGGAATGATGTCCGTGACAGCATTAGCATTAGTTCTGAAAATAATTGTTCAAATATTTTGCCTTTGGGCTACAAAGATTTACCAATGGACCTAAAGCTTTTTTCAGAAATGCTACATGTGCTGTCTCGTTTAGAGAAATTACAAGTAGAAAGGTCTGACACCATCTTTATGAAAAAACATAGTTAATTCAGCCATTAAAATGATTTCATGTGATCGTCTATAAAGCTATCTATACACTTCGTCTGTACAAACATCTTTCTTGAAGCCTTTTCATTTCTTTTTTTTCTTTTTAATCCCTCTACTTTGGGCTCTTCTCAGGAGATGGAGAAACTATTTTTGTATGCGCTGGACGGAGCATGCTTGCTGAGAAATTGATCAAGTTTGACGGATCTCGAAATTCTTTGGATGTCAAATTGGAAATGTTAAGACAGATATTTAATCCAAATTTCTTGGAGAAGATAAAAATGGTGACATAAAAAGTTGTCGTAATAATGATCTTGTACAATCTTTGTGCGGATATCATATCACGTCCAAAGAGAGCAACTTCTTTTGCATGCTTGAGACATAGACTCTTGACAGCAGCTATCTCACTCTATTTATCTTCACATTTTAGAGGTTCAGATCCCGTAAGCAAAGTATATTGTTGAGATATCCACTTCAATAAGGGTGGTGTTTGATAACTAATGAGATAGGAAACCCAGGATGTTCGAGAAGCATATTTTTGTAGTACTGAAATTCCAAGAAGTGTTTCTTTTTTGAAGCATTTAAGCTAAATACTCTGTTAGGTTCCATTAGCACTTCATGGGATGCACGAATATTGGAAATAACGTGTATTTACCAAACTTTAGACAGGATAAGCGGATCGAATCTGAAAGAAAGCTCATTACATAAACTCTCCAACTGGATTTAGTAGGAGCAACATGTTGAAATAATATCTGCGACCAAACCCATATTGGAAGAGCTCTTAGACTTGAGGTTGAACGAATTTGTCAATCTGACCCGCTATCACCATGTTAGGTTGCATCTTCTTACATTTCTCAAGTTGGGTGTTCCACGTAAAAATGAAAAGATTATTGCGGGCTTAATAAGCTCGGAAAATATATTGGACCTAACTAGGAAGACAGATTAACGGAATAGTTTCATTCAAAATTTAAAGTATCCATCTACACAAACAAGACGAAAACTAAAAGGTGTGACCTCCTGGTTCTTATGAAGTGGACACTACGAGTCAGTCCATGTAGTTTCCTTCCTTTTCTTTCGATCGGAACATATAACAAGCATATTAAATGATGAAATAGAGAAACGAAAAGGAGTGAACAATGCTGATGCTTTCAAACTTGGAACATCATCTAAATACAAAGCCGATTCAGTATAGAGAGTTGTAGGTGTAGCAGGTGGCAATAATGGATGCTACACAAATCAACAGCGAAGGAAGAAGGGTCACATTTAGAAGCTTACTCTGTCCCAAAAATCCACCCAGGGTTATAGTTCCATCTGCAATCACTCGAGCAATTGTCCCAGCTTCAGTCGAGAGAAGCCCACCATTGTAGGTCCCACGAGAAAGTCTGGATGACATGACTCGGGAGAGAAGCGACAAATTGACGCCTAGAATGATAGCATGAAACCAAGATGAGTAAACATTTAAGCACAATCACCACCCGACAAAGAGGAAAGAAACAAAAAAAAATCTATTTGAGTAATCGCCATTTCAATTGTGAAATCTACATGCCAACTTCATGCATCAAATTTACCAAAAAGGTAAATAAACACCAGCTACATTTACGGCCATCTATAGTGTGTACATGGCAATGAATTATCTATTTATTGTGAGCCAACACATAAAAATAGGCATACGTTAGCTTAAGTAAAGCCACAAAAAATAGGCTTTTAACGGAAGCACACTCTCAAGGTCACTTGGCCATCATATTTATAGTATTATCTCAATAATAAGAAATTTATGTTAAATAATATTAAACTTGAGAAAAATGTTTAAAGGCGAGTTACTCTACTAAAATGAGTCAAAAATAGAAAATCAGCTACGGAAATTATTTTGACATCATATACATCGTAATGTATTTGTGCTTGGCTATTACATCATAAACACGTATTTTCGAGAGTAACGGTCTATCATCAAATCACCATTAGTAAAAAATCAAAATCAAAAGACACTTCGAGAAGGTAAATGGTCAAGGAAAATGGCTTTAGCATAGGAGAATTTAAAGAAGTAACTTGACCTATATCAAATGGGTAGAGCATAGAGATGCAACACCCATATGATTATGAGTCAGTAACACAATGGAACTGGTTAATATTCATCTTGGTCAAACTAATTGAAGACTGAAATCTTACCTTCCAATACTTCAGCAGATACAAACATTATGAGCCCTGAACAGACATATTGTGGAACGGAATACGGGATTATTACATTAAAGCTGAAGAGTATACCCAGAAGAACCATTATTTCAGAAGCCATTAAAATTTGCCTGCAAACAGACAAGCGATAGGAAATTATAAGGTCACGATGATAACAAAGATTCCATATGAGAGGTTCTTGCTCCCATTAGCATAAAAAGTTGAGTTGCAGATCTTGAGCTGATATATCTTGTTCTAAACTATAAAAGGTTTATAAAATTTCAGCAAGTGTCAACATTAGGCATTGGAAGGCAGCATTTTAATGTCCTAGTATTCAAATTCTACTCAGAGGCAACATATATATAAACGAGAATAGGCACAGCACTTGAAACATATGGCATCGGAAATTTAAAATCTAAGACTATTATAACAGAATATTGTTTAGAACTTATGTTATTTGCAATCACAATTAACTTGATATTCAATCTTCATAAGCTTTCTCAATCAAATTGTGATATTAGAATTACCTCCATGGCACATTGTTATGAATTGCTCAAAAAGCAGTTGGTGAACAAAGCAAATTCCAACATCTGATGTCATAATTAGAGATTCAAAGTACCCTTCCATGGAAAAAAAAAAAATTACCTGTCCTCGAACATATTGCTTACGTAGCTTCCCACGACAACATTTACCGGAAGAACTGTAAGGCCGAGGCATGCAAGAAAAATTGATACTGTACTTGTAGACCAACTGAAATAGTACGTTGTGATGACACTAGATTCTGAAAGTAGAATCTCCATTGCATATTTAAGCATAAAGTAAATCAACAACTGAACCTGCAATTATCATAGAATTCTTCTCAAGAATAGGTTGGCAAGACATAAATGCGTTCAGTATTTCAAATTCAAATACAAGACACTGGCCATTTTTTCCTTTCCTTAATTTGGGGCAACAGCAAGAGGTTTTTCCCTGCCCGAGTAATGCTTGTTACATAACTAAAAGGTCATAAAATAGCTAGCATTCCCAAATGACCGGAATCCAGCAAAAGAGCCCAAAAAATTAAACAAATAAATAACCGAGCCTCTATGAAGTATAAGAAGGATGATAATTGGGGTGAGCCTATATTGATGTTTACTAATACATGATCTTCATATAAACCACAGGAAGAAAAATCCAACCTCGTGCGGTATCAAAATAAGAGGAAGGGAGGATTGAGAAGATTGACAAAATAAAGATGACATGAACATGTGGTCACTTTAAGATGACAAGGTGACCCCTGAGCATCATACCTTACAAACTTCGTCCAACCCCACCCTCACCCAAAATAAAATGCAAGCAAGAGAAGAAAGCAAATTTAGTCGTTAAATTATTATTCTACCTAAATTCTATTTACATACTGATTACTCAATGTGATACACTCGTATAGCCAGCATTTAATGTTTGTCGTCACTTTTTTGGAACATATTTATTTATGTCATACTTCATTTTAGGAAACAACATTTGGAAAATATAAATGTAGCTGTAAAAAGTACTACTAAAAACTGTTTATTCATTTGGAAAAATTGAATGAAATCAGACAAAGAATTGCACTGGAAAAAAGAGAAGTTGGCCAGAACAATATCAATTGTGACCAGATAAAGTAGGATTGACACAGCATCATCCATTGTCACCTCCCAAAAATAGTATTGCTGAATCCTTAAGCAAAAATCCTCTTTCAGTCTTTCCATTAACAAAATTATAGAAAGCAAACAATGTAAACTTCCAAAATGTAGTGTTTTTCTTTTTCTTTTTTTTCTTTTCTTCTTTTTTGAAAGTGAAATTTAGTTGTTATATCAATAATACATCAAATAGGTCACCAGCTCTATACTTTTTTCTTTGTATGAAGCACGCCTTGTCCGAAAACCAGAAATTCAAACCCCAACCCCAGTAAGGAAACTTCCAAGTACAAATATGACATTCCTATGCAGCGATTGGTCATCAATAATGAAATATTTCATTCTATTCAACTTCCAAATATAGAAATACAACTAACGGTTCAAAATCAACTACATTTACCTTAACAGAAGGCGTAAGTAACCTATAAGCTGATCCTATTGAGTTGGCTGGTCGACAAGATTCTTCAGGAGCTTCTTCACTCTCATCAAGTTCTTGATCCTCCACAATATCTTGTTGGTTCTCTGCTGCCGTTAGAAGCAATGGTTGCACAAGACCCTTCTCAAGCTTATCATTTCCTTCTGGTAACAATAGATTTAATGTCAGATTCCTATTCTCACTTTAATCAAATTAATGCATCTTCATAACTGCTTATCTTAACAAATCAAAATCAATGATTTAAAAACCAGTCCATGCACTGACACAAAATGGGTAAAGGGTCGAACCAATGGTTTAAAAAAAAAAAAAAAAATGCAACTAAATAATAGAACAAAATTTTCTCCTCTTAAAAATGAACTGGTAAAACTGACCAGTTTTTGAGCTGAAAAGACCAGTTTTGTGGTGAACCCGTTAGTTTCCCTGGGTGAATTGACCGGTTTTGAAGTTATTTTGGCGGGTCTTACATTTCCGGTTTTACATATACATTACTATATACTTGATTAAGTACCAAAACATTCAAGACGTCTCCAGATTTAGTAGTTGTGAAAGAATTACCAATCAGGCCCAAGGAAGAAAAAAAAATTGATGGTCTGGCACAATGCTCGAGATACTGAAGTTTAGCAGAACCAAACAAGAGCCACAAATTATTAGAGAAATGAGACAACTTACTACTAAATTTAAGAACTGGTGCAGTTCAGATATAGTAGCCTACTGCTTCCCATATTTAGGGGAGTCAGATACTATTGGGTTACCCAAAAATAAAGCTCAGTTCCAGCCGAAGGTAATGACTTATATCCCACTACTTCAAGATCAGAATACACGGTTTACAAAGCAGACAAGTTCCACAATGACAAGGGATCAAGAAAACTAAAATAAAAAAGAAGATGGATTGGAGGCAAAGAAACTAAAGAAAAAGAGAAATAGATATAAAATTAAGATTAAGAACCTCTGGGAAAAAGCAAATTAAAAAAAAAAAAAATGAAGAGGGAAAAGTAGAACTGGACTCCAATTATGTGTGTGCGCCTCTTGAAGAGTGGAGTTCAAACCTGAAAACCTTATAATGGCAAAAAATATATATTAATAATAATAAATAGAAGTTTCATAAGTTAAGTATAATGGTGCCATTACCCTTTTTCTATTGTTGAATTGTATGTGTGTTTTTAAGAAATGTGATTTGTCGTGTTTCCGGGAATCCAAAGGATAATTCATGTGAAAAGGTGAAACTCGAGATCTTCAAATTCACAAAAATCTATCATCATCGTAATAGGGGCAAAACAATAATTGTATTCAATTTTGACCATTATTATCATCTGCCTAAAGTCATCAGTAAATAGCAATCAAAAAGCTGGTATCCATTTTCATTATTCATGGTTCAAGAATACCAGATTCTTCAAAAAATAAAAATGAGAGTTTCTGACCCCAAACTCCACTAGGTCAAATGCATATATCTTGGACCCTAATTTGATCCACTAGGTTTTCCATTGCTTTGTTATCTCTACGTCCATTTAGGAAAAATATCCATTCACAAGGTCCCAGAATGAAACATTTATGATTGACTAGACCATTGATACAAATATTTCCTTTTCAAAATTTCCAACCGACTCTAATCATATATAAAGGTAATATATCCTCTTCAAATCCTTGTTTCTTAATAATAATCTAACTTAACTATCTAAACCAATCACACCTTGAGACACCATAATTCATTATGGTTACTCTTGTCTCATTTTTACTCCTATTATTGGGGAGGACATTCCATGTATTCCTCTTATTTTTTACTTAAACCTAAAATATGTAGATATCAAAGTGCTCCTCTGAAGTTCCAACATATAATATATCCCGCTTCTAATGTCATCAGACGAAACTGGAGATTCAGTTCTAGGATCATCCATTTATTCGACCAACTTTAATTGTTAATACAATACATTTGCACCAATACTCCTGAGAGCATTGCTTCCGCACTTTTACAGAACTTGTAGATACAGCCGAGTCCAAATTCCGCTTATTCCCTCACATCTATCTTCATGACGATCTAATCACTGGAAATGTGCGGATTCAAGTCCCTTTAACCCTGAAAACGCATCTGCCACACCAAATCTATACATTTTAGTCCTACTAGGAGAGAAGCCGCAGGGGGGGTACCAAAAAATTTTTATATTAGGCTGATATATGTATGTGTGTGTGTGTGTATATATATATATATAGGGAGATGGAGAGGGAGAGAAAAATCTAGAAAAATCCTTTTCACCTGAATTTTTTTTTTTTTTTTTTTTTTTTTTAAACCCTTTTAAATTATTAAATAGATTAAACATGCAATGGACATCACCCAACCGGGCAAAGTCTCTTGATTAAATGTGATCTTGTAAATCTTAAACTTAGTTTGAAGTAGACCAGCGAGGGCAGGACCACATGCCATTCCGAGAGCACTGGCACTAACGAAACCTGCTGAAGCCTGCATGCGGATTTTTAGTGGCACACAATCACTGATATAACGCCGATTAACTGCTCTGGCAGAGCCAAAACTGCAAGTTCAGTAAAGGAGGGAAATACCACAAGTGTCAAATAATATCCAAGTGCATTTACCACCTTCAACAATGATAAACATCGAACTTTTACAATTTCAAATGACGAGAAAATTTTGTGGTTAACAATGGCAACAGGATCAGGTTGGGCCAACAGTGAAGATGTTTGCTTTGATCAGCAAGCTCGTTCAGTAGTTTATTGTTGCTGTCAATAAGTTTGTGTGCGACTGATGTCATATCTTGGTTGAATTGCAGCAGTTGCAGGTTCTGTTCAAGGAGTATAGAGTGATTTGAAAAGAACTACTACTTCCAGATTCTTGGTGAAGTCTTTCTAGCTTTATTGCTGGGAGCTGAAAGTAATTCTTATCCGTGGAAGGTTGTCTGTGGATGAAAAAGTCCAAAACAGGTGCCTTCCTTACATCTGATAATCTAAGGAGGTGGAATAAGAGCTAGTAAATCAATGAAGTTTGGTGGTTAGTTTTGCTGGGATTAGTTGGAGAATGCCAGCTACTGAGACAGGCTCAATGCTGCATGCAGTTTAAAAGAGCTTTTCTCTGCAACAGCGAAGTTCGTGAATTGCTTGACATGAATTACTGGAGACAGGGAAATAAGCAGGCCTTTTAAGAGTGCGAAGAATCCCTGATGGAGAATAGGGAGCATTTTCTCTTTGATATTGTTTTGACCTTATAATAAAATCATGGATGGATTTTTTTGAGAAGGTGTTGATAGTAGGTACAAAGCTCTGTAATTTCTAGCACTACCGCATTTGCTTTAATAAAGAATTTTCTTTGGGATTAAAGAATTTTATGAGAAAGTAAATGAAGAGAGGCATAGATTCAAATACAATAAAGTAGCTATTGACAAGGAACGAATTCATCAAAAATGCCTGGATTTGCATATGAAAAAAATACAGAAGCACAGTAGTCTGAGGGAAAGATCAGATAAGAATATTGAAAACTGTAAAGAAACTAATAACTCAACTATTCTAGGAAAGTTACTTTGTCAAACACAGAAAAATACGCATGCATATTTGATCACCCAAGGAAACTGACTCACCTACTTAGCCTGATTTGTGCATTCAAACCGCATAGATGCCAAACAGATAGATGGGCCCAAATGCACAAACAAACTCATATACACACATGCTCATGTGCCACACAGAGAAAGGAAGAGGGAAGGAGGGAGGAAGGGGGAGAGAGAGTCACCTACCCACAAAAAAGTCGGCCAATCAGAAGAACTGATATTGAATTGAGATCATAAGCCAATGCATACATTACATTTCCCAGAAAAAGCACCACGCTGCTAAATACCAGAGGTCTGAAGTACGACTTGTTAGACCAAGCACTGAAATATACAGAAGAAAATATCTGTGCAACCGCCATTGACCCAATGATAATACCACAAACTGTTGCTGCTGCCCCAAGACTCATGGAATAGTCATCTGCCGTTGGAACAATAATATATGTATTGATCATGTAAAGAAACGTGTTTGCCAGGTTCAAAAGAAGTGACATAAAATGGTATCTTTGATCATCAGCATGTTCCTCAGCAGTAGGCAATTCCTCTTGCATAATAAGTGCATGTTGCCCCAAAAAGTTGAGTAAGTTTGTCGAATGGGTTAATCTATCGACAGCTGATTTTAATGAGTCGACAACAGGATCCTGCTGACCAATTCTAAAAGATGTGAACAGATAGTGGACTGCTTAAATTCAATACAGAATTAATCAAAAGTAGTGTAAGGCAATGGAAGACATGCACAAAAAATCAAATAAGCTAGCAAAAGACAATAAATTTGGATTGCCTGGAGAGGAAGAGCAGGCTGGTCATAAATTGATAAGTAGCTCCCCTGGCGTTCCTGAAGATCAGAAAGATTGCGAGATATTGCTCCAACAACAGCTCCTAATCCCTGCAAGCACCAATCATCATTAGAGAATCTTTTTCCTTTCCTTTTCATTAGTTGGATTTTCACAGGGTAAGTTTGATTTTGATGAAGTAATAGTTTCAAACAACAATGTGAGAAAAAAATTATCTTTAGCTCTGATCGTTTCAGTTTAGGTAATGCAAAAAGGACTAGATAATAGAAGAAATGGGTATTTATAGTCATATAAGCATATTACCACATGCTTGAATACTTGCTGAAGCTGGGAATAAGGATGGTTAGCACGAGTTTTGACATAGTAATCAGTGAATTTGTATCCAAATCGCTTATCAAACTTCTTAAGGATCTTTCGGAAGCCAATGGCATTCATTTCAACAAAAAAGAGAAGCTTTAAAAGATCAAGTCCAACTTCTCTATAAGCTTCCCGTAGCTCTGTTATCTTTGATATATCAGGGTGATCCTGAAGAGTGTCTCGTTGCTCATTAAGCTCGGCTATCCTGCTTGCAAGTATCCCTTGTTGTTCCAACAGGAAAAGAACAATTTTTTCAATCTGCAATAATGAAAAAAATTACTTCAGCAATAAAGATTGAGCTGAAACGATAATTTACTGAACTAAGCTCGGTAAGCAAGAAACTCATTTCTGAAATAAATATCTGCATCTGTTACTTACATATACATAGTAAATGAATACTACAAAGACGTTTAGGTCAGAGCAATTAGCTTCTCTTATTCAAAGAGAACAAGTCTCAATCTTCACTTGTCAAATTAGCGACACAAGGGGCCAAGAGTGTTGAAAAAGCTATGTTCTATAAGAGAAAGAAAAAACATGTTTCCACTTGACTGGATCATGCACATGTATATTTGGTATTCTATAGAGAATAATTAACGTATTAGAAAACCATCAAAATTAGACCCATTATATTTTCACCTTCTTTTACTTCAAATTCTGCCAGCTGCTCTTCATATCTTCAACAATTCTGCAATCCTTTTATTCAGTTAAATTCTCTGTATATTCAACTACCACTTTTGATCTGTGTATTTGTTTTACTCCAGGGAATTGAAAGCGTGTTAGCAGAATAGAATATGCTAACTATAACGTGTTGATTAGCTAAAGTGGTCTCTGAGACAATGTTATGGTTCATGAATTTTGTATAATCGTTAAAATACCTGATTATCCAGCATTCTTGAGAAATCCTTGAGAACATTTCGATGATCCAGTACTCCAGTTTCAATTTGATTAGCATACTGCTTCACTTTTTTCTTCATCAGTTTGTAGTTGATGTAATATCTGAATGGTGCCAAAATGTTTCAATCATAAGATGAACAAGTTATTTAATATTGATCGATATATAAAAATAAAACCAATGCCAAAAAGGAAATCTGAATTGAATAAGAATAAAGGAGTTAGTGCATACTCTTGCCATTCTTCGATTTGTCTTTCCTTCAACTTCTTCCCAAAAGCAACCATCTCACACTGCAATAAAAGGATATAAAGTCTGGATTATAAGATGTGATAACATTCTCATAAAAAAAACAGAAAAAATTGTGAAACAGATCTATTGCACAACCCTTTTCTGGAAATTAAAATTTTCGGTTTATCACACTCCCCAAATGCGAGACATGAAACTAAGACGTTATTCCACTTCAGTTATATGACTTACCAAATTTTACAGGGAAAAAAATCTCTCTTAATTTGATTTCCTCAAACAGAACAAAGAAAATGATTCAAAATATAACAAACCTTCTTTAAATGTTCCCTCGTATGAACTTTTCATATTACTTATCATGCACCACCACAATTTATATTTGCTCAGCCTCTATTGTTTATTCTGTTTGACATGTGATGCCATGGTTATCCAAATTTATAGTTGCAGTATTTACAAATGAAGCGTCCATAGGCACCTGATCAAATGTGAGAATTCTTAATGGCCACGCACACACTTCCTTCCAGATTCTCTCATTGAAAAAATGGTAAATTATTTAACTAACTTCACCAATAATGTGCAATAATCAAATTAACAAATCTGAAATAGACTGCTGACTATATATCTGATGTTGCCCTTTCACACTGGCAGAAGTTAAATCCATTATATAATCAAATCTAAGTACAAACTAACAATATAAACATTTTTATTCGCCAGCAATTAAATAATTACTCTTCCTTATGAATTCAAGTAAACTAAAAACCAAAAGCCCTTTCATATCAATTATTAACAGTTTTAGGCTATCTATTCTTGACTACAAAAATCAGACCAATTCAAAAAGTGATCATGCTCTTGTTACCAACATCTTCCAGAACAGTCAACTGCAAAACTATTCAAAATTTATGTACAAAACGAAAATAAAACTGGTCCGCAGTGCACTGCACATCACCACTACTCATTTCTCACAATTTTGGAAAAACTCAGAACACAATAAAATTAAATTAAAATTTCAATCACCACATAGCATACTCCCATGCGTACAATAGATATATACACATATAAAGGCATCCACACTAACATGTGTATATTATACACACAAATACATGCGTAGATAATAAGTTCGTTGTATCCTTATTCATTAAAAAATTATAAAGAAAAATAAAAGCTTTACAGGAGGATTTTGAGACCGCCGGAAATATGAATGGAATTAACTGGATGAGCATCAATCACTATAATTCCCCTGTAGAGAGAGAGAGAGAGAGAGAGAGAGTCCAAACTTCAGAGCTGAAGAATGAAAACTGGAGATTTGAATTCCGTTTCTATTAATAAATTATGGAACCAAAACAATAATTGATCAATGCTCAGCTACTAAAACGTCGAATTTTCAGATCTCTGATTAACAAGGATTCAGAATCACCGCAATTATGAACAAAAAGGGCCAAAATCAATCCCTATAAATTCCCCTCTAACCTTTTGGTAATTATTTGTGCGTGCGTTTGTACGATTCTGTATAAAGCGTGAGTAAATTTTGAAAAGTTTATATAAGACATTATTCTCGTAAAATTTGTTATTAAAATAAGTTTGTAAAGAAATGAATTTTAAAAAATTGGGACCAAATACTTTTGGTTATCAGGTTCATTCGACTTCTTTATAAAAGATGAGTAAATTCCTAGATCTAAGATGTGAACAAAATTCTACCACCTATATCAACTTTTTGTCTGCAAGGAATTATAATGTAAGAGGGGAATCAACCGTTTCGGCTACCACAATAATGTATTACATCGCTCCCTTTCTTGTAACGTAGTTACTACTTGGGCCACAGAAGATACTTGTTGACCAATGGCTACATAAACGCATATTCGAGTTGTCTCCCGTCATTTTGGCTCGAGGATTGGGAATAAAGCAGTTTACGTGCTTGCAACTCCTGCATGTTGTGGTGATGTTTCGTTTTATTGAATTGATTTTATTTTGTTTATCTTTATCTTGTTATTTTAGCATAATATCGCATGAAATGATTGAATTAAAAATAAAATAAAATAATGATTTATTTGTAATTAAATTTTTTTTAAAGTTTTTAATGGCTCATCAACGAAGTGAAAGGGGCCTAGATGTGATCTTGTCCACAAAGTATTAAAGTTTTCAATTATATATTTGTCGTCTTCTGTGGTCCTTAGCTTTTTCAAGCAGCCTACTCTGATGTTTACGGGGTGGAGTTGGCTCAAAAGACATTATCTTCTAAGTAATGGCCATCCTTTTCGATGTGAGTATGCGTGTAGTCACATGTTCAATTATTATCTAATATCATAATAATTGAATATTAAATATTTTTTAACTTATTGAATTCCGTTTTGAGACAGTAGAATTATATTTAAAGGTGATTTCAATGAATATTGGAAAAAATATATGATTTTTTCAAAAAAAAAAAAAGTATTCTCATTAAATTAATGATTTTCTTCATGTATTCTTTTATTCCTTAATCAATCGAGATGAAAATGCAATTTTATTTTTCTATAATTTATCACAATCCCAAGTGACAACCCACCAAAAAAAAAAAAAAAAAGGGGAGAGCTGTTTACCACATGAACTAATAACAAATTGTGAAATAAGAAAATGAATGCACAAATTGTGGTGCATAGAGGCCGACATTACTAGTCATCATACTTTCATCATTTTTCATTTAAGGTAATAATTTAGGCTCACATGTGAAAAACAAATGCAAGTTGCGAATAATTTAGGAATGTGGTCATTTTTAAGACATGTAATAAGTCAATTATTTAATCAATGATTAGTCAATTAAAAGTTGGAGAAAGTTATATGGCTAGAAATTAAAAATTGCTTTTTTTTTCCGTTTATATTTAATTATAAGCCAAACTGTTTAATTACACATTTTTCAAAAAATCACTATTCATAATATATTTTTTCTCAATAATGACCATCAAACCGGGGCGAGTTTAATTTTTTGAAACTTAATTTTAAGTGGCACGTCATATTAATAGTCACATTTTTGTTGACCTGCCTCAATTATCAAGTTATTTTATTCAAATAGACTATTGTATCTATCCACATTTTCTTTAGTCTGAAAATGGAAAGAATGATCAAGTTAAAATTTTAATGACAATACAAAGTAATGTGAATAGAACAATATTAAATTTAGTGACCTGTTTAATTTTTTTTGCTAATAATTCGAGGGTTTCAATATTTAGGTAGATTAATCGATTATCAAGAAATTGGTTTTGAATCAATTAATGTAGTACTTTTTCAAAAGATGATTAGCACAAAACGTCCTTTCAATGTTATTGATTTATTGTATGACTAGTCTTTTTCACGTGCATTGTACGACTTTTGTATTTATTGTATTTATTTAGCTTACAAATTGTAGATTTCTCTGTTGAAATTCAAAATTGCCATTTTTGTAACTATAGGATTATGCTAGATTAATCCATATTTCTTTCTATGAAATCTTTTATAAAAATTAGTTAAGTGTTGTAGCACTTGTAATCTCAGCTCCGGACTGTTTAAGAGAAATCATTGGTTCTTCCTTTGAAATTTCTTATAAAAAATTGGCTAAAAGCATTTCAGCACTTACAACCTCAACTCAGACTGCTTATTTCTTCCTCTAGAATTCCTTCTTGGAATTTGGGTTTGTTTAGGAGCAATCTTACTTTCTTCTAAAATTCCTTGTGTGACTTACAAAACTCACAACCTCGAGCCTCAGCTTGAAACTGCATGACAGCAATCCTTATTGCTTCATCCGGAATTCCTTATGAAAATTTTGACTTTTATAAGAGCATTCATTACTTTCATATAGAATTTCTTATGGTAATTGGATGGAAGGTCGTAGCACTTAGAACCTTAGTTTGAAATATTTAAGGGGACGTGGCATGACATTGAATAGATGCGACATAACTAACTTTAAATCATGTCTATATATAATTTATTTATCATTTTTCTCATGAAAAACAAATGTTTAGCTATCGTAGAAAATTACAATTTTTTTATGTAATGCCTTTCAAGGATTCTTTCAATTGACATGTCGAATTTTTTATATTATTTGATAGGACTATCTGTTTCCACTACAAATTCATGAATTAGTATACTTTGTCAACTAGTTTTTTAGTACAATGAAAACTTTATGCCAATGATATTTTTGAAACTTTATAAATCGATGTTATCTTTTTAATTTACAATTATGTAAAAAAAAAAAAAAAAATGCGCCACACGCACGCATTCCTCCTACCCATATTTTTGACAAAGAAACTCATTTTTTAATATAAATCATTTAATGTTTTCAGATTTATTTTGTTAAAAAATTTTAAAATAAAAATAAAAAATTAGTCCCCACCCCAAATCCTCCAACCCCACAATAAATGGAGAAAATGATCATTGATAGAGACAGATAGAATTGATTAGGGAAATGTATAGTAAATATATGGGACGTCGTCGTTTTATTATTCAAGTACTGATAAATAAATAAATAAAATTTAAGAATTGATTAGCACGGAGAGGTAGCACTCAATAGTGCACGGAGCGTGCTCTCCATGCACAAAGAGTGTAGTCTCCGTGCACGGAGAGGACATAGAACCTATGTCTTCTGGGATGGTTACGAGCTCTCTTGAATCTAGCTCATAATAATATTATTTCCACTCATTGGTTGGGGTTTTACTTAAGGCCCCGATTGGTACACATTAATATAAAAATGAGAATGAAAAATATAGTCGTTACGGGCCCCACACAAGAAATAGAAATTCAAATATAGTGGCTCGATGTGATGAATAACGATCATATTTTTCATTTTAATGGATAAAAAATGGGAAACAAACAAAGACTTAGTTTCAGAAAATTTTATGACTTGTTCATCTCTTTTCTTGCATTCCGCTGTAGCACTATTTTGGAGGAAGGTTTGATCTGGTCAAATTCTGCAAGATCGTTTAGCAGAGTGGTTTGTATCTAATTCTTCGATTCGGGCCATTTGTTGCCGCAGAATGGAATTTTGGGTATGTCATCACACAATTTTAACTTTGAGTTCTTTGAATTTAAAGCTTATTATTAGTTTCAAGCAGCTGTACTGCCAAACATTTGTTCAATACATTGTCCACCCTTGAAGCACTTTTTGCAGAAAGACAACCTAAATAATGTCTTTTTCTGAATTTATTAGTTAAAGTTTTTAAATAACTGTCTCAATGATGCCTCTGAATTTATTTTTTAAAAAAAAGGACAAATATTTTCCTAACAATATCTTGACATTTCATGGAACTGTTAAAATCTGCAGATAAAAATTGTGAAATTGTAATTATGTATATGGTGTTTTCCAGTATTGAACTCCTAATGAGTGTATAATATACATTGATCAAGATTTAATTATTATTAATGAAATAATTAATATTTTTCTATAATTATATATAAGATATATTCAATCCTTTATAATATTAATGAAATAAAACCTCGTCATTTTGCCAATGCAGGGTAAAAAGGGAACGAAAATGAAATGGAAATTAATATAGACACTATAATATGGAAAAAATATATATAGCTACAATGCAACTAAACACTTCAGATATAAACAATGAAGATGTAATATAAATTCAGGGTAAAAAGGGATTAAAAAAAAAAAAAAAGGAAATGTTACTATATCAATCACAAGATAACACGACGTCGTTTTTACTCTATGATGGGAAAAAAAGATTTTGCTACAGTGTGATAAAATGGAAGAATTTACTATTGTCAACTACAATAACTTTTCATTCTAATTTTTATATAGTAGGGAAACATTCATACTTTTTTATTTTTGACATTTTCACCTTTGCTTGCCAACAAGGTCCTTCCACTTACTTATCGTCAGTATCTCCGTTAATTGAAAAAAAAAAAGGCCAATTTTCTTTGAAAAAAGGAAGGATAATATAGTCTTCGAAAAATTTAACCCCTGAATTTTTAATCTGATTGCTACTAAAAGCGTACATGAAAAAGGAAGAACACATAAAAAATAATCTCAAAATGATTAATTAGTGAGAATATAATCTTGAAATTGGGTAGGTATAAATGCATTTGTTACAACAATAAGAATGGTATATGAAAATGAAAACTAGCCCATTGTTTTATAGGACTGCTTTAACTAGTTTTGTCCTTTCAATGTTTGCAGAAGTTTACAAAAATTAGTATTTAGGCATACAATGATGTAGGGAAAATTTTAATAATATGCAGTTTAAATAGGCTGAGGGCTAATCGAAACCTTCCCCCCTTCTTTTTTTTTTTTTTTTTTTCTTTCCCCATTCTTAAAAAAAAATGTTATTATATTTTCAATTTCGCTCAATATCATGTATCAAACGCTATTAAATAGCATGATTGATATAAATTTTGAATGGTACGAACCCTAAAGTTAAACTTGTGCTTGCTGTTATACAAGGAGCCATTATAACAGATACTAAAGTACGAATATTTTTGTATTCATTGAGTTAATTCTAAAAATA